ATTTGTCTGTGTCGGTCTGTCTGCCTGTCTTTGTCAAAGTCAAGAAAGCATGTGTACTGATGTTTTTTGAAAAAATCTATCAAATGAGATTTGACTGAATTAATCTAATATTGATCTATAACACGAACACTTTTACAACAACTATGAAACTGAAAAAACTTTAAAACAAATAAAAAGATTGAATGCGAACGTTTCCTGATTACCTGCAGCAAGGATATATGATTTGAATATTTGCTAAAACCATTTCAAAATGCAAATGTAAAAAGGCCCTGATCCGTTCTCAAGAGTTTACTTGAAAAATAACTTTATAAGCTTTCAATTAATCTGCTCTCCGGTCGCTAATTTACGGCACTTCCATAAAAGAAACTTTGCTCTCTTGATTACGAAGTGGTTCAGTCAGCTGATTGTGTTTATAAAATGTCGGTCCTAAAGGTTATCAGAGCTGCGGAGCGGGCAAGCTTGGTCTAATCACGCTGAAATGTGGCCCCATCTTTCGCTCAAATGGCCATGCACAATGTGATACAATCAGGAATGTCGGAAGGGAAATCGTCAATCAATATTTTGGACTTTTCCGTATGTCTGTAATTTTTCTTCCCAATGCAATGGACAACGTGATATATATAAACAAATATGGAGGAAGAGAAATTGTCAACCAATATTTCAGGCATTTTTTATTCCAATGGCAATATAATATGAGAAAGCTCAATTTTTTGTATTTTCAAGTTGGCGGCGGCGAACTATCTTTCTGTTAATAGTTCTCTTGATATGGATACGAAATAAAAGGGATTTAAGAGTGCAACGCGGCAAGTTAAGATTGTGATTATTAAAGTTAAGGGACTTGTAAGTAGTGCCATCAGCCTTGACACAGACATTAAAAGCCTAATCTATGTTTGTGATCAACTCCATGAAATACAAATTCCATCGTTAATCTATCGATCTGGGAAGGATTGTATTGATATAATTACCGAAGCAATTCTTGGCCAAAAAGGAACTACGGCAATGTTCAAATCAGAATGCTAGCAAGTATACTATCTTGAACTACTCGTAAGAAGCAGAGCAGTAAAATTATGCGGTTGTTCATGGTGTAGTGTACATGAGACCCAAGATATTTACAATTGTTCAACCATAGACAAGCTTACAAATAATACAAATGGACTTTACATAGCTAAATGGGAGGAAACGTTGTAATTATAATGAAACACTTATGAAAATTCACAGAGTGAGATTTTTACACGTACACGTAATACACTAGAAACTTAAGGAAAAAAGTATGGAAAACTATATTTTTTTTTTTTTTTGATGGGGGTAAGATGTTATAGAAGTCAATTAAAAACTCGAATTGAAAGATAACTTTTGTCCTAATCATTCTTCAGTGACTACATATGGAAGATTGAAGCGTTTGGAATAATTGGGATTTCTTGCACATTAAAATCTTAAGCGCCGCTATATATAGTCACATAAGACGCACTTTTGGAAAGAAATTTATTTTCCATTATCTAGTTCATTTAAATAAAACCTTCTAGCAGCCTGAGTGGCCGAGTAGACAAAGTGTCCCAACTAATCATTCAATGGTCATGGGCTCAAATTTCAAGTGCGGTAGACTTTTTAATAAAGCTGAGAGCGTAAGATGCTAGGGCCTTAAGACGTTTGTCTTAGAATATATATCTCTGACTCAAATAATAATAATACTGTAACAATAAACAAAAACCCATTTAAAGGAAATTTGTATTCCCTACACCACTTGTATGAATGTATGTAACGCCTGTCCGTTCGTCTTGCTTGTTTCCTTAAGTCTGCAGTTTCAAGATATTTTGATGAAATGCCCCCTTTGTTATACCGAATCGCTTTAGGATTGTCTGTCCATCTGTCCGTCCATCCTCTTTACTTGTATCCATCCTGCAAAGTTTAAGACATTCTGATGTAAATTGGTAAACTGATGTGTTTAAGTCCAAAGACGAACATTCGGAGCAGGCCACTTCGACCACTTCCCCTACAACGGCTTATCACGAAAAGTGAATAACTGTAGGGTGATGTAGGATTTTGAATGGTAGGCCATAATCCACTACAATATGTTTTTTTATTTGTTGTTATATAAATTATTATTATCTTTTTCAAATATCGATAAAAATTTTTTTTTTTTTTTTTTGGAAGATCTAATTGAAGAAAAGTAATTCATTTTCGAACGCTTCGTATTAATGAAGTAAAAAAGTTTTTAGTAAATAATCAATTTTTAAAAAAAAAATAATGACATAAACAACTAAAAAGACAATCACACAACGACAAAATTTATAAACACATTAATAAAGTGAAAGATTAAATTTAAAAACAAAAAACCGATAATTGGAAAAAAGAAAAAACTTAAATAATAAAAAAAAAAAAAACGAACAACGAATCGATTGATTTATGAAATTGGTTTTTAGTATACAATGAATGAAAGAGAAATAATGAAACAGAAAGACAAAGACAAATAGCTTAACATTTGTAAGAAGAGAAAGGTATGCAAACGAGACAAAAATTCAAAAAATATTTCGCTGTGACGCGCTTAGTTATCATAGGCGACATCATTGAAAAAAAATGAAACAAATTTTTATTGTTTTTAGTTTTCATTTTATTGAGTAAATTTTTTGTTTTTCTGTTTTTTTGTTTCTTCGACTTAAGTTAGGGGAAATGAAAGGATATTTCACACTGTTAGCATCCATTAGGTGAAGTGCTATTGTTTTGTGTTCTTTTTTTTTTTTTTTTGTCGTAAGTATATATATTGTTTTTATTTTTTTTTAAACTTAAGTGATATCCAGCAGCACATTCCAGCAATACAGCAGATGATGAATATGTTGTGTTTTTATACAGGCGAAGTTTTTATTACATATACATATATACATATGTAAGTATATATACACGTAAACATATATAAATATATATTTATATATATATACGTATATTCGAAAGTATTATTTAATTAATTAAATAGTTAATTATTATTATTATTATTATAAACAATGTTGCAGTTATTTTTATTATTATTATTATTGTTGTCATTGTTGTTATTGTAATGAAAAATAAGTCATTAAATTATCTGCTTGATCTTCATGTAAAATTAGTATAATTACAAAAGTTTTTATGACTCATTCCTAGCTTTTACGGCTTTTTATACAATTGCTAGTCATTTTTGTTGTTGTTGTTTTTTTTTTTTTGTGTCTAATTAAACAGTAATTCTTACGCTTAAAATCCATGTTGATGGTTCGTTGCCTTAAAGCATTTGAAAATGTATTATAATTTATTGATGGTATGATTGTAGCGTATGAAAAGTATACTGTAAGCAAATCGCCCTAACATGACTAAATATTCTTTCCTTTCTTTAAAAAAAAAACAAAAGTCTTTTAAAAGAGAAACAAATATCTTTAATTTTTTCCAACTTTAGAAATAAAATTTATAAAAATTATTTTAATACAAAAAAAAAAGAATTTTTGTTTATAACAAAAATATTAAAAAAAATATTTTTTGCAATTTTGCTTCAAATCAGAAAAAATTTTAAATATTTGTTTCTTTTAAGTTTTTTTTAAAAGTGAAATTGTTTTTGAAATTATTTTTCAAATAAATTTTTTAAATGAATTTTTTTCTCTATCAAAGGTCTTGTTTACGGTTTTTTTATTTTTTAAAATATGCAAAAAGAAATATTTTTTTTAATATATTAAAAAAAATTTTTGCCTTTAGAAAATAGTAAATAAAAAATTTTTTTTGGCCGTAGTAACAAAAAATAAATTTTTTTCGAATATAATAGAAAAAAACTTTTTTTAATATTTTTTAAAGAAGACATTTTTAAAAAAATTTTTTTTCTTATTTAAAAATAAAAAATTTTAATTTTTTTAAATGAAAAAAAAACCCTAAGAAAATACCTAAAAATGAAGGCATGTTAACATGATCTTCACTTTCGTAATGATTGTGCTTTGATGACTCTGTAAAGCATTTTGTGGTTAGCATAAAATTTTGAACCGTTCCAGCTGTGCTTGTGTCTCTGGTTCTCCCTTTCATTCTAATGCTATTCTCTATCCGCACACCGTTCTTCTAACGTCTATTTTGCAATAAGCTTTTCATGAAAAAACCAAAGCATTCCCAAATAAAAGCTACGGAAGAAAAGCAATTGATTTAAGGCTTAGACTAACTAAAACTAGGTTTGCTAAAGAAGTGAATCCTCTCGCTTGAAATAATAATTGGCGTAAGGCACAGTCGAACCGATTACATTCTCATTTAGTTTATTAAACGGGGCAAGAAAAGGAGCTTGCAAACCTTTCCTACTTCCATAATAAAGAAAGGCAAGAATTTTTTGGGCAACGGAGGAGTCACTTGAACGAAACGGTATCATTTGAAGGTTTTCTTCTTCTTGATTTGGGTAAGATCGACATCGCATGTTTGTAATAAAGGAGTCGTACGACCTCAGTCTCTGTGATGAGGCCAGATGTTAAAACAGCACACAGACGAATGGATCTTAAGATGGCATCATATAAACCAAGTAGAAGTGCTGTGGGGTAACTGGTATTGTATGCTTGGAAAGTTCTTAAATTTATGTTCTATGTTTCCTACCAAGTGGAAGAGCTAAACACAACGTAATGATTTTTCGAAGGAACCTTCTTCTCCCGAACTTAGATTAGGGATCAGAAAGCATTGATGAATCTATCGCTACCGCGCACTAATATGCTTTGAGTGTCTAGTTTCATATTTTGAAGTCCAACAGAAAAAAAACTCTACCTATGCAGCATAACACATAATTCTAAGCAGCTTAATATAGGTTTCGCTATAACGGTCTATCTTACGCGTTTTTAAGTGTTTCATTAAAACTAAGCGTAGAAAAGTTTTTCACTAATTTCAACTTGATCGTGGATATCGAAAAATTCGCCTCAACTCGAATACTGCAACACGATCTGTTTTCCCTTTTGAATGCCTAACGATCAACAGTTAATCAGTATTTTTTGTTTGGTGTTTAGTTTTTTTTTTTTTTTTTTTTTTAGATTTTATTAATTTTTATTATTGTTTTTATATATTTTTCTTTTGTTTAATTAAAATTTAATACAGAAGTAAGTAGAGTACGTACACACAGATCTAAACGAAAATAT